GGAGGGGGGGGGGGGGAGAATCAAAGTTCATTGAAGAATATACACCCCTGGAAATTATAATCAGACAACTGCATATTGGAGATTTGGAGGAATAGAACCCTGGTCACAAAGATGAAAGCTTCATGCATTAAAACGACTGTACCATCAACACCTCTGCCAATATGTTTTTTTTAGATCAATGGCAAAAACATTCTGTGTTCTGCTGCCAGTGTTGGGTCTGACCTGGCTGATTGGGATTGTCACGTTTAACAAAGATATCATAGAAATGCAATATATATTTGCTATTCTTAATTCACTTCAGGTAAAAAAGTTCTATGTAATGTATCTCCCCGCAACTATCTGCGGGAGAAAATCCACGAGCTTCAGCAGAGCATTTACTCTTACCCACAGTGACAAACTAATCACAACTTCTTTTTTTACAGGGATTCTTCATATTTTTGTTTTACGTGGTTTACAGTCAAGAGGTAAGACTATATGTAGATTACACTGACCAAACAGCCATTCGTTCAAGCTGAAAATCCCCGCCCCCCAACACTTTTCTAATGGGGCGTGGTTAGAGAGGAACAGTGGCTATACACCATACTTGATGACAAATTACAGCATATACGGCAGGTTCGAACTTTCTTGGCAAAATTGTCGTTGAACGTTTTCGTTTCATATTTTCTTTCTTGCATCGAAAGAATAATCATGTATTTCAGTTTTAAAACAGCAAGTTCATTTACTCTTTATATTGCCTGATACCGTAAATTTTTCTTTGCCTGGCGTTTGCCGTTTGACGCGAAGCTTAAACTCTCTATTTGTCAGCGAATTCGCCACGAAAAAGTTGGATCAGTTCCTTCATTTTTACTGTTCGTACGAACAAATTCGCCAAGTGGAAAATGGGTTTTAGGTTCAGGATTTATATTGCATTACGCACGTATAAAAAATCACATCATCACAGAATAAGGTACACAGAAGGCCGACTTCTCGGTTTTTCCTATGATTTTCCTATGATTTTGGCGTAACCCGTAATTCGTCATCAAATGCTGACGCCATGGTCCTAGCCAGTGCGCGTTTGAGAGGCATTCACCCCCTGATATTATTCAAAAATGGCGGACGTCCAGGGGGGAATGCCTCTCAAACGCGCACTGGCTAGGACCATGGGGTCAGCATTTTGATGATGAATCATGGCGTGGCAGCGGTTACTCGAGTCGACCTTCTGTGTGCCTTATTCTGTGACATCATCATTCTTATTTCAGGTGAGAAGAGAGATCTCGCACAGAATTGCAATCTGGAAAACTGCGAAAGAAATCAACGGCCAGGCACAGGTGACACGGGACTCAAAGCTAAGATACTCAGAACAGACGAACAGTCTGCCGTCATACAAAACTTGGATGTAATTCAATACTGCATGTAGTGGATTCTATAAACTTGCCAAAATGTAACTCAAAAATCTTTGTACTTCGTAATACTGGGCTCAAAATATATGTTTATATCTCAACATATACATCTATATAGATATAAAATGTCTATACTTTACGTAGATTTAAATGTAAAAAGAAAAAAAAGAATCGATTAAATTCTCTTATTTATAGCTATAAATTCTTCACTGTTTTTACTAAGATCGCAATATTATCTTTTTTAGATTCTTATGAATTTACAGAAGTATTAAGACTAGTGTAATCCCCCCTCTTGCGGTTGTTCTCAAACATGGGCGTAAAATAACTCGTGTTAGAAATGTTCAGATGAGGGTCCACATACCCAAACAAAATCACAGCTAAAATCACAGCAAAAACTGCAAGTGCAAATGGGCTTTTAGGGACCGTTCATTATTTATACCCGGGGTTTTGGTACCGAAGAGATATGGGTTGGGTAATCAAGTTTTTCACTAGCTCTTGGGTTGGGTAAAAAAAATTATGGCTGTCTGAATAAAACCAAAATTACCATACATTGCTATTGGAAAATATGAAGAATAATGTGTACAATGCATTTTGTACCAAAATAGACCATCAGTGATTGAGGAAGGACTCTATCATTGATCAGCAGGAACGTGATTGCCTTGGCACACTCAGTGAGGTTGAGTATGAGTGAGCTTTTAGAATTTAGGCAACTTGATTTCTGTCACCATTATCTAGTTTGTGTGCCCAGATCCTAACTTTATATGTAGCATATACATTTCCCAAACAAATCAAGAAAGTTACGCCAGGATGGACAACTTGCATGTTAGACTAAATTTTAATCTAAGTAAAGAGAAGGGAATCAAATACAACAGTTAAAAAGAACATAATGAAATTAGTAAAATTGCAAAATTTGGTTGCGAAATGTTGTAAAATACAGAAAATATAGCCTTGCGAAATTTGCATATTTTCAGTTTATTTTTATTACGTGCGGAAATTGATACCATTTCCAGCTCAAAAATGGTAACAATTAAAATGGTAACGATTTCCGCACGTAATACAAACACACTGAAAATATGCAAACTTCGCAAGGCTATATTTTCTGTATTTTACAACATTTCGTAACCAAATTTTGCAATTTTACTTATTTTAATAAGTTCTTTACGGGAATTTACTTTTTTTTGCCTATATAAAAAATTAGTCTAAGGCCCGTTTCATACGCCGTACTTCACATGTGCCGAATACATTACAAACAATAGATAATGAGACATTCGGCACGTGTGAAGTACGGCGTGTGAAGTACGGCGTATGAAACGGGCCTAACATGTAAGTTGTCAATTGATAGGGATACAGCTTCCTTAAAAATTGAAACGAAACGTTGAAGTTCTCCTTGTATTTTTCAGGTTGTTGTATCCCTATAAATCCACAACTTTTCTATACAAATATTTTCCTCTTTAACCCAGATAAAATAAACCGCCCACCACTTAGTAACGCATAAGACATTTCTCAATTAACACTGCTGTTTTTATGAACGTTTCTATTTAGGCATCGAGTTCGATCTCTTCCTACATAGCGTCTGATGTCTTCCACTTCCTGTCGTGGTCTTACTGCCTCTGTCATCTTGCCAGCTATTTCGATGCTCCTTCAAATAAGCGATAAACCTATCTTGTCTCTTCATATACTTCTTAAGCACCTCGTTCGTCTCACGTTCCTTCTTCAATTCTAATTTTAGAACGTCGTTCTCAATGAGTAATTCGCGAACACGTGCGCGGCTGTCGTTGTCGTCGTACTGGAGTACTTTGAGAGCTTTCTCCAGGTTCTTGTTCTCTTCTCGTAATAACATGAGCGCCATGTCGTGATTTGATAAACCATTCATTGTGAGATTCTACTGAGATTCTGTCGAGATTCTACTGAGATTCTGTCGAGATTCTACCGAGATTCTGTCGAGATTCTGTTGAGATTCTACCGAGATTCTGCCGAGATTCTGCCGAGATTCTACCGAGATTCTGTCGAGATCCTACAGAGATTCTGTTGCGATTCTACTGAGATTCAACCGAAATTTTACCGAGATTCTACTGAGATTCTACTGTCTTCAAATCCACACGACTAAGTTAATTTAATAAAGCTTTCACTTGCCAAAGCCAATCGTCGAATAGAAATAGTGTTAGGAATACACTTCAATTCAATTCAAATCTTTTGGACGTCAAGAAATTTCCAATTCCACTTCGAATCAGTGATTTCTACTTCACAGACACAAGTGTGACGGCTGTTCCAAGCTTCCCTTGCCAAAGCAAAAGAGACCAAGGATGAATACAGTTAAGAAGAGTCTTCAGTTCTTTTGGACGTCAAGAAATGTACAATCCCACTTCGAATCAGTGAGTTCTACTTCACAGACACAATTGTAACGACTGCTTCAAGCTTGCCTTGCCAAAGAAAAACTGCCAAAAGAGGCCAATGATGAATATAGTTAAGAAGAGACTTCAATTCTTTTAGACGTCAAGAAATGTACAGTTCCACTTCGAATCAGCGAGTTCTACTTCACAGATACAACAATAATGCGACTAAGCTTCCTTTGCCAATCGAAACTGTATATTTGAACACTGCTATAGCCAATGTTATTGTACTTGAAATCCTCTGCCTCAGAAATACAGCTCTTAGCTAATCCTTCACGACAGCGACGCAATTGCTTAGACAACTGATTAAAGCTTTTCCTTTGCCAAACTGAGGCTAAAATTTTCTCGAAAACTTCAAGGAATGCTATAGAACTCTTCGAGTAGTTGTCCACTATTACAATGAATGAAGCTTGCTTGCCTCGTCTTCACACAAATCTAGTTTAATATCTTTCAAATTTTACAACCACCGTCGGCAAGATGGTTTTAATAAGGCGATTTTCCTTATCAAACTTCCTGTTGTATACTTTAAACCTTTTGTATAAATTAACAAAATCCAGCGAATGTTACAACGAAGGAATGTCAATAGTGACTGCTTCAGCTCCTAGTTGATAAGATAGAAATATAGCTTCGTCACTCGCTCAAATCCTCAAACACGACACGAGCATTTTAAGTATGTCCTTTGCCAAACGTGCTTGATATTTTTACCACGCTCGCCACCTACGCTTTCTAACACTGTTCATTGCGTGCGAGTGTTTACTAGCGATATGACACAGCATGACCCAGTGTGAAACCTCATTCTTAATCCCACATATCATGTTATCATTTGAAACTAATCTTGCTTATTAAACAATAGAGAATCAAACAAATCCCGAATAGATGCATCGGGGAAATCAGCTACGGTCTGTGCTATATAACGGACGTGCTTGGGTCGTGAGACCGAGTTTATATCGTGAAAATCTAGAATTGTCTTGATTTTAATCGAGGGCTTGGTCTTGGATTCTCAATGCATCTATTCGGATTTTTTTTCTGGAAATAGATTCTGTTTTTAATTAAACAATGTACTGTATATTTTTAATACCATAACAAACGTGTATGAATCGCAGGCTGGTATCTCGATTAGATGATCTTAATTGGATAAACTGACCGATATATTAACCTCTTAAAATCTGATGTTTTCATTGGTGACTAATCCTTATAAACCACTTATATATTCTTGGCATTCCAAGCTTCTGCGTGTCCAAATTTTCAACCCACACACGAAAAAACGTCCTAATATTTGCCGATTCACAGTCTCCCTTTTAATACACTTATTCATTATCATGTTATTAGTCATGATGAGAATCCTAATTTAATAAACTTGATGTAAAGATAGGTGATTGGCAATGTGTGGTGTATTGTGTGACATCCTGATGTCCTGCGGTGAACACACAACGAGAGGCGGGCAACTGTTCAAATAATTAAAGATAATAATGTATTTTGTTTGACCATTTAAATGTCCTTGTGCTTTTTGTACTGTATTCAATCGTATTGGTAGAATTGTACAGAATATAAATGAACAAATACGGTCGAATGTGATAGTCGAATATCTCCTAGAGAAAATCCCCCCATTGTGTTGACAACATGTTCAAGTAATTAATGTTTAGTAAAGGAATTTGTTTTTCTATTTTAATGTCTTTGTGATTTTATTATTGATATAGTCTACCCATCATCGTTTCTTTGGTTTCATTGAGTATGATTAGCAACTACAGTCCATAGAAAGTAATACTTTAAATTCACTGAGAAAATCCCCCCATTATATTGACAACATGTTCAAGTAATTAATGTTACAGTAATAAAGCAAATATGTTTTTCTATTTTATTGTGTTTGTGATTTTATTATTGATATACCCATCATCATTTCATCCAAACATGATTAGTAACTACAGTCCATAGAAAGTGATACTTTAAATTAATAGAGAAAACCCCCATTTGATTCTTGTCAATCTGCAGCTTTTTGGCGTTTTTGTCACTATACCTATACTGGCACACACGGATTGAGTATATGTGAATATGTACTCTAGTTTCCCTTTATGACAGTATGTATTGCATGGCTGCAGAACTGCCTTGTACCCAGGCATCTCTTTGTAAAAAACAATGATGCCTGTATGACAAGTTTACATGAACTATTGTAGTGGCAAGACCATGAGAGAAGGGTGAAGGGGTTGATGGGAAGAGTGTTGCGCCTCGCCCACCAGGTAGGCTGCAGAAGTTTACCTAGCCTGATGAAAGGGTTTAAGCTTAAACCCTTTCATCATGAAATACGAAGCGTCCGTACCGCAGGCTAAAGTTTACCACATTGAGCGACATTGCTCTCCCCTTGACAAGTAAAATCTTCTGGCGTTTGACAAAGTGAAATAATAAAGTAGGGCGCACTGGGGTGAAATGCAAGTTTATGGGTTAACTAGACACATGGCTAGGTAGTCCGGTTAACCCATTGAGTGGCAGCGCTCTCCCCTTGACAAGTAAAATTGTCTGGCTTTAAACAGAGTGAAATAATATAATTTGAGTATTCTGGTTTCCTCCAGTAGTAACACTGGGAAAACACATTATGATTCTTATTGGACTCCTAGAGAGAACGGCTTACAACTGATAGAGCTATCCAGTGTAAATTAGACTTCTAATCGGTATTTCTAATACGACAGACTTCACAGCAAGTCTGTTCTTGCCTAAACCAGATGTATATTTTCCTGTCATACATCAAAGAAAATACACATCAATAATAAACCTAATTCATATATTAAATTACCAACAAATTAAACGCTATACTCTAGTTTAAAGCAGCCTTTAATATACTCAAAGTGCGAGCCAGTATGACCATGCTGCTCTAAAATATATGACAGCCTTGCAAAGATGGCCGAATTTTTGTTGTTTTCATGTAAAAATTTAGTAATTTACTCAACCAAATAGCAAGGCCAGGACTTTGTTTCGACTCTCGTAAGAACCTCTACACTATGCTGTAATACTACATTGTGTGTACTACATAATACGGTGTGTATTTTATAAACAAACCATGCTTTATTACATGTAACAATTGTAGTTTATTAAAGGCCTTTTAAATTTGAAACATACACCCAAACATCCCTTGAACATACCTTAAAATTTCGCCGTTAAACGAGCCCAATTTAACTCCTTTTCCACAAAACCTCTTCTCCTTCAACTGACACACAGCAAAACTATAACTTGTCGTTGTTTTCAATCACAAGAACGGCAAAATTAAACAGAAATTCAACAAAATTTGACCATTCTTTCTTCGAAGATTTTTGAATTTTGTGCGAATTTCCGCGCGGGCAGGCACGGGTGGGAAACTGGAAAGTATTAAAATCACGTGACGTTGATTCACTAAAGGTGGCTCCCTCGTGTTTTCAAATATTTAATATTTATATTGACTATAATATGACGAAAAGAATTTTATATGTTCCTGTAGTATTAACATTAAACCAATGAGGGATGACTTCAACTTAAACTATACGAAGAACACTTTACAAGTTACAACCATGGTTACAACTGACAGATCTATCCAGTATAATAAGTTAGTTTAGTTGGATTTCATCTGCTGTACTAACATTGAATAAAGAAGAGATGATTCTTACTGCCGGAAGGCCCGGAACTCTAGGAAGAACAGTTTAGAACTGATATAGCTATCCAGCATAAATAAAGTTAGTTTAGTTTAGGTTTCCTCCTGTAGTAACACTGTTACACTGGATCAATAAGAGATGATCTTTACTGGACCTCTAGGAAGAACAGTTTAGAACTGATAGAGCTATCCAGCATAAATAAAGTTAGTTTAGGCTATGGTTTAGGTTTCCTCCTGTAGTAACACTGGATCAATAAGAGATGATCTTTACTGGACCTCTTGAGTCTTGAGAGAACAGTTTAAAACTGATAGAGCTATCCAGTATAAACAAAGGTTGTTTAGTTGGGTTTCCTTTGTAGTAACACTGGACCAATAAGAGATGACTCCCATACTGCAACAGATTAGAACTAAAAATCTGCTATCCGTGCTTGCTTGGATATTTTCCCAGATATCATGAACAAACAACAATGTTATTATGTTATTGCATGTAGCTGATGAATGATGATTGTGTATGACACCAACAGGAAAGCTCAACGCTGTAAAAAAAGTTAGTTTGGTTTTTAACTGAATAGTCTGAATAAGGAACAATTTGTGGTCACACCATGTATCTAACTTCATTCTGAGCTTTCGGCCCGTGTTCTCGGGCCGCATGGGCGTATCGGAAGGAAAAAATTAGGGGGGCGGAAAGAAAATTGCCCGACTTTTCGTAAAATTGCCCGACTTTTCGTGATTTTGCCCGACTAGTACCAAAAAATTTTTCCCGGAAAATTTTTTTTGCGACCTTCCCCGCCCCCCCCCCGCCCCCCCCCGCCCGGTACGCCTATGTCGGGCCGTCTTCAGTGAAAGAATGAACATGAATTGTTCCTTATTTTTGCTATGAACGCAATGCGAAACAGTTCGGTTTTGTTCCTTCCTGTAGCTGGACCAATTAGAGATGACCATTTAGTAATCGATCTCTCGGAAGAACGGTTTAGAACAAATAGAGCCAAAATAGAGATTAACCCAATGACCTTTAACTTAGCTTCGTATCGATGGAGTTTTATTATTTTCCGGATAAACAGTCGGAATGTTTTCAAACCGCGGAAGACGCGAACGGCGTTCATATAGAAGAGAATTGGGAACACGAAACATAAAATAAATGAAGCGTTGAAGTCCAGTGATCACAAGTGGATGACGGTGAGTAATTCAGTTTTTTTGCTAAATAATAACGGTACGGGTACAAATAAAAAAAATCAGTTGTTGATATAAGCAGAAAGACCGGCTTCCAACGAGGACGTCTGGTCCAGAGTAGGTATATTGTAGAATAAGCTGTTGTGGTTTGTGTCTGAACTACCTGAAGAAGATATCTCAAACGTGGTGGTCCAGTGTAGGCAGTATTCTACTGATATCTCAATGAAGGTGGGAGTGAATTAGGTTTGTTTGCGTTGCCTACATTTACATATCGTGCGCGTGGGCGGCGCGGCTACAAATTGTTGAATGAGCAATAAATTGCTTTTTGTGGGTTGACGTGGCGACAAATATAATTGATTTGTTGTGGTGGTAAAAGCGTCACATTACCTTTGCATGGTGCCAAAGATTTTTCCGACTTTTCCGCGTTGACAAAACCCACGGATCACGTAGGTACTCCCAGCCTATTCAAAAGATTTTCAGCCAAAATAGAGCAAATTGGGCTCTCAAAAAAGTCACTTCGAGCGAACGAATTCGCTTCATGGAAACGAGCTTGATTGGAAAACGAGCTCTGGGGCCGGTTGTACGAAGGTCCACCTTAGATGATGATTTTTTCGGGCATTGTAAAAAAATCTTCAAAGCTATAAATTGTGGATATGGATGACAAGGAATAAAAAGAAAGTTTGTTTCAGCAATGCTAAAGTTCAATTTAATGACCAATTAATGGACAATTTCAGGAAGTTTTAAAAAAAATCGCTACATCCGGTGGATAATGCTATCCGGCGTTCTACAGACTTCTACCGGACCTACAATCGCGTGCAAAAATAATGAGACTCTTCACATTTTGGTGATCTTTTTCACGTGCGTGCCCCCCTCCCCCCATTAACAATGTTGAAAACATATTATTTGATAAGCCCTGACCTCAAAATCGTTTTAACAACATTGGCCAAAGGGGGGGGGCAAGAAGCATTGTTACAGCAGGGAGAGGGCCAATAAACTAAACTGCTTGTCTCAAGAATTTTTGCACGCGATTGTCTTAGCAGAGGCCTCATTGTGTTCACAAACTTCATTAAATTTCTGCCAAAAATTGAACTTAACGCAGTCTCGGGAAAAATTTTCATTTTTCGCGCTTTAAGCCCAGTGATCTAGTTTTCGTGCGAAACTGGCACAAAAATGGACTCAAAAGACGCAGAATGGGGGACTGGGTACGAGTAAACAACCGTTTTGAACTGCTTATTGGATCCTCTATGTCTCCTGTTCTAACTTTTCAATCTGGACTCTGACATCCAATTTTTGCAACTTTAAGCAACGCAATTTTCTACTACGGCTGAAACGGACAGATTGACGAACGCAAAACAGAAATTATCTGGTTTGTTTGGTGGAGGGTCTTTGAGTTTACCCGGAAGATTCCGCAGGCGGAGCAGAAAGACCTGTCTCCGTACCCACGCTGTTTTGACGAACTGGTGTTTTTGGATGAACAGTTTTAACTTTTTTCATGCAGCCATCATTGCACATTTACTCTCAAAGAAATATATAAGAATAGATGACACGTTACGCACACGTTACGCACACGTTACGCCACACGTTACGTTTGAGTTTATATAGAATATTAATGAAAATCGACACGTTACACACGTTACGCCCCATTCTTATAAAGGTAGAATAGGTCTACCTTTAATATATTAGGCGTAACGTGTGTAACGTGTCAGCTTGCTATAGATTCTTATATAGTGAAAGGCGTAACGTGTGGCGTAACGTGTGCGTACCGTGTTGAAATTGAGTTCTATTTAGTTTGTATGCATGTATAAGGTCTTCAAAATAATTTTCACGTAGGCTATTTGTCGTTGAGTTTTCGCATAGTACTTTTATTGAATATGCATGCTAGAAGTGTGTACTTAATATATTCGTCACTATTATAATAAAGCATCTAAAACAGTTATTGAAGTCAAAAGGCACTGCCAATATAAACGGTATAAATAGGGGAAAACATTGTAATATAGAAACACTTAATAAATTTAATACTTTAATCGTTCTCCTCGTTTCTCCCTGATCATTGCAACACGCTTGTTCATCGATATAATAATTCAGTTCATAGTACTTTTAGACAAACTCATCGTCGTGCTTTTAACTCATTCGGAAAATTGTTCAAACTTTTCTGACGTGATCTGCTTGTCAATGGCATCTTGTCCTAACTGTTTTGATACTCAAGCGGGACGCGTTCAATTTATGAACTATTTACGGTCATTTATGACGTCACGATGACGTCATTGTGACGTCAAAAGGTAAAATCCTTAGGCACACATGAAACACATAGTCACAGCAAGCAAAGGCTGTTATGCTTCTTATTTACGGCAAAGCGAAATAACTGTATTAAAATTATCATTACTCGAAACTACATAGACAATCGCGTGCAAAAATAATGAGACTCTTCACATTTTGGTGATCTTTTTCACGTGCGTGCCCCCCTCCCCCCATTAACAATGTTGAAAACATATTATTTGATAAGCCCTGACCTCAAAATCGTTTTAACAACATTGCACAAGGGGGGGGGGCAAGAAGCATTGTTACAGCAGGGAGAGGGCCAATAAACTGCTTGTCTCAAGAATTTTTGCACGCGATTGTAGCTGTGCTGAATTAGATTGACGTACTCCTAATGACACTGGACAACATTTACTTTAGCAAAGAAATGGTGGGAATTAAATTATCATTAATTGCGTTGGAGTGAAGGGTAAACTATTAATGAGCACGTGGGTAATATTGGTTGCTGGGTCATCCGTCCCACAATGCTGTGCGCGCTACAGCTCAGTTCTGTCTGAACCTCTGAACAACCTGAAAATGTACTTCACGTTCGAATTGCATGCCGTTCACGAGGGAAGAGCCTTATTGGACTTCTAGGAAGAACATGTTGGAACTGATAGAGCTATCCAGTATAAATAAAGTTATTTTAGTTTAGGTTTCCACCTGTAGTATAACACTGGGTCAATAAGAGATGATCCTTGCTGGACCTCTAGGAAGAACAGTTTAGAACTGATAGAGCTATCCAGTATAAATAAAGTTAGTTTAGTTTAGGTTTCCTCCTGTAGTAACACTGGGTCAATAAGAGATGATCCTTACTGGACCTCCAGGAGAACAGTTTAGAACTGATAGAGCTATCCAGTATAAATAAAGTTAGTTTAGTTTAGGTTTCCTCCTGTAGTAACACTGGGTCAATAGGAGATGATCCTTACTGGACGGCCTCTAGGAAGAATACTTTAGAACGGATTGAACTATCCAGTATAAATAAAGTCAGTTCCACGTGCTGATGTGCCGATTATTCTTGCTTCTTTCATTTCCCAATCTTAATGATAAAAGTACTTTGCACGTCTCATTGGCCTTTTATAAAGATTACATTC